TCCATTCCCAGGGACTAACACACAAAATAGGGTTTTAGTGGACCAGCAAGCCGCTGCCAAACAAAACAGCCCAACGCACCCACCACCCTGCACCCCCGGCTGGTCAGTGAGCCCAGTGAGGTCCGCAGTCAGCTCCAAAGAGCTCAGATCCCTGCCACGGTCAAGGCCACTCGGGCATGGGAGGCCAAGTGCCAGGCGCGGCCAAAGGCTTTTAGGAGCCCACAGAAAGTGCTTTGGAATTAATTTTTAAAAGCCCGAATTAAAAAATGATATTATGGTAATGAATATATAATAATAAATCTAGCTTGATACATATTCATCCTTCTGCAGTTGCAAAAGAGTTATTACTTTCCTTGTAAAGAAGGCAGCCCAAGAGGGTGCAAGTGGCAGGGTGCCGCCGCTCCACCCCAACTCTCCACCCCAACTCAGGGCACGAGAGCAGGGAACAAGCAAGGAGGAGCTGGTGACCGCAGTGCAGGGGCCTGAGCACCTCTGCAGGGTCAGAGGGCTCCGTGTGTGAGTGAAGTGGTGGAGGGAGTTCTGGGAGGCTCCAGGGATGCAGAGAACCTGCCAGAGGCTGAGGCAGGGAAGCAAGTACCAGGAACTCCTGGGGGAGAGAAGAGCAGGGGCCCAGGCCGAAGGGAGAGATCCTGGGGTTGGTTTGGTTCTGCAGAGTTCAGCAGAGCTTCGTGGAGAGGAGGGAGAAGGGTCCGCAAACACCAGGCCCCTGCAGCCTCCCTCACCCGCGCTCAGGCCAGAGAGCAGGGGTGTGGGCATTCACAGAGCAAAGGAAGCTTGGGGGAGGCGGCACCCTGGGGATGCTGTGACCCTGTATGTGCTTCAGAAAGGCCAAGTGCTGGCTGCCTGGAGGCAGTCTGGAGAGTGCAGGCATGAAAGTGGGGAGACCAAGGGCCCGGCAGCAGCCAGAAGGAAGCAAGGGCAGCTGAGGCACCAGAGGGATCACGAAGGACGAGGGGACCTGGGGAGGGAAAACCAACAGGCTCTGCTTGCTGGGTGCAGCCAACGAGGGTGGGACGCCACACACAACCTCTGGCTTAGGCCACAGGACGAGGGGTGGCGGTGGAATGAGCTGAGAGGGAGCGGCACGTTATTGTTGGACCAGATTCAGGGAGACAAGGGTTCAGGGCCAGAGGCTGGCTGGGCGGCTATGGTCAGGGGTCCAAGTAGTTACATCCACAGGCGCAGAGTCAGAAAGGGGTCGCGACAGGGTCTTCGAAATATCAGCATAGAACTCAGGGGCACTCAGCGGGGTCTGAAGATCCTTGCACGGCCTTGGAGGCTACAAAGGATGTAAAGTTGTAATAACGCGTGCGTGGTTTGTAAGAATTCCGCGGACACGGAGATCCCAGGGCTTTTAGGAAATTTGCAGAGAGGTCAGGAATCAGGAAAGAGGAAGCACCACCAACAGTCTGCGACGGGAGACGAGGCCGATGGGCAGGCACAGGAGAGAGCCCGTCTTGAGAAGAGGGCTTGGTCATGTCCACCAGCGCAGTCTAGAGTTTCACGGAAAGAAAGACGCAAAAGGCTCCAATCTTGTTCTGCAGGACTTGGGAACTAGGAGCCCTTGAGAACCTCAGTGGGCGTCGAGGAGACAAGGGCGATGGAAAAGCCCAGGTGGAGTCCCACTATGAATTGGGGGTGTCAGACAAGGAAGTGGGGAACAGCTGAGTGTACACCACCCTCTCGAGAGGGCGGGGAAGGGAGGAAGAGAAAGACCTTGATTCCGGCTTCATCTTTGAAAACTGGCACCATCATTTCAGGCCCTGGTGCAATCTCTCTTGGCACCGTCAGTGAGAATACGTGGGGTCCCTGACTCACTTCTCTCTGCTGAACTCTGCTGGCTCCACACCCCGGATCACAGTGAGTCTGCAGGGCTGACTGCCTATGTGCCTATGTCCCTAGTCGCACATGTCTCATGAAGGCTGAAGACAGGGCCCTCTTGGGGGGCTTCCTCTGAATTCTCCTGGGGCCCTTGTTCACAAAGTGGGGGGTTCACAGCCTGGGTGAGTGGGGGAACTGACCTGAGAGGTGAGGGGTTAACTGTATGACCTGGACAAATCACTTAGTTTTCCAGAGGCTAATTTTCATTCCCTGTAAAATGAAGAGGCTGACTCTTGCCTAGGGAAGGAGATCTGTGTTAACTGGAAGAGATTCAATTTAGCTATTATTTTTGTGATGCAAACCACAGAAAGAAAAATGGGCTGGAAAGCCAAAGAACATTCAAACAACGTGAGACAGAAATGGGTTAGAAAGGTTGAGAAACATTGTAAGAGATGATTTATAATTTTAAGCTTAAAATTTTACCAGTATTTGGTCAGGCTGATTAAGGGATTGAGTAAGGTGCCACATGGTACATTTCAGACACAGAGAACAAATGCCATCTTTGTCCTGGGAAATTAATATCCTATTACAAACACCAAAGAATGATAAATGAGGCCATGATTTTCTCTATAAACAGAGCATCTGTGTACACCTTCGACTGTGTATACTGCACTTCATGATAAAAATCACCTAGAAAAATATATTAAAAATAAAAACACATTATGGCTGCTTTTCCTGTTTTGGCTATTTGGATGTTCAAATGAAGAGAAAGGAAAAAAGAATATACTGGGTTGAATTTCATGCCCTTTTCTTTGGAGACAACCTACCTCTAGGACCAGTGAATTTTACTCAGAAGGTGCTGGCTTTACGTGGCAGCATCAGCATGAAAAAATTATGCTCCCAAATGTCTTATATTCTTTTTTTTAAAAGATTTATTTTTATTCATTTATGCATACAAGAACTGGGGTGTAGGCCAGAAGTGTGAGGGTTGGGGGGAGTGAGAAGAGTCACCAGAGACAGAGTGGGGAGCAGAACAGGTGGATCTACTGAAATGCACTGCTGAGGGGAGCAGTGGGGAGAAGGAGAGGTCTGCCTCGCCATGTGGGTCAGCTCCCTGGCAGGGGATCGAACTCATGCCAGCACCGGGATGGAACTCAAGCCACAGTGGCTGGCGAGAGCTTGATAACGCTGAGACTTAACTCTTGTGCCATCAGGGAAGCCCCCAAATCTTACTAGTTCAATATTTCCTTTTACCTTTTCTCAGAACTTCAAATATTTAAACTTGACATGGTCAGGAAGCACTTGCAAAATCCAGTCCTTCTACATAACTTTAGGGTCAATTATAATTTGGCCAGAGAGCAGGGGGTTCAGATAATATCTCCCTGACAGAATGGGGCGATCATTCCTGACCAATCGCTCCGTAACACTGTCGGAATTCAAAACACGCAAGGCAACATTTGACCAGGTATTTCTTTCTCTTCCCAGAGTGGGAGATGAAAGCCCTTCTCTCCGCAGATCAAGTGCTCATCCCTCCACCTAGAAACTTCCATCGGGGCTGCCAAGACCTCTGGCCAGGGCACTGATGGGAATGCGTGATGGGCAGGGGTTGGGAAAGCACACCAGGTATTTAATTCTTTAATCAGGCAGTCATCTCAGGGAGGAGTTCTGCTCGGCAGAAAGTGGCCTAACCACATTGCCCAATCCAGCGGGGACTGAAAACTGCATTTCACCAGGGAAAAACAACCTCTGAGCAGGGTGGAACCTTATTAGTCCTTCTCTTGATTACCCCATAGGGGCATAAATAACTTCCCCCTTCTAGAGAAGAGGGGGCAAAATGCCCATGTGAAGAACTGGACATGACACTTTGTGAAGTCGCTGGCCAGGCTTGTGACACAGAGGACCCAGGAGAAATGGAGAAGAGCAAAAACAGAGAGAAGGGAACACATCCCCTGGCCAAAGGGAGCTGTGAACTCCCACTTGAAAAAGTTAGCAAACAAGTTTAGGGCAGCTGGCTAAGCTATGCATTAAAGGTGACAATAAAAACAAGAAACACGGAATAAGCAACTCTGACAACCCTCTCCTGCATCTTCATGTCATAGACGCCTCCTGACTAAAAGGATATTCACTTGCTTACTCCATGTGTAATAAAAGCTAAACATCTCCAGAAAAATGATGATCAATTCACACACTATCCAGTTCACACAAGCAACAAGAAAGGAAGTTGCAAAGGTCTGTTGTTGACATGCTTTCCCCTGTCCAGACCAGGGGATGTTCTCTCACTTTCTCCTGAAATGTAAAATGGAATTTTGGTGTTGTCGCCACCAACCCCCAATGGGTGATGTTCTTTAAAAAAAAAAAACACATAATGGAGGCTCTCCCTGGTGGCGCAGGTGTTAACGATACAGCAACACGATACAGCGCTATCAAGCTATCAGCTGCCACTGCAGCACCAGTTCGATCCCTGGCCTGGGAGCTACCCACACGGCACAGCAGACCTCTCCTGTCTCCCCACTGCTCCCCTCAGCAGTGTATTTCAGTAGCTCCACCTGTTCTGCTCCCCACTCTGCCTCTGGTGAATCCTCTCAACCCTCACTTCTGGTCTACACCCCAGTTCTTGTATACATAAATAAATCTTAAAAAAAAAACAAAACAAAACATAAAACTGTTTTCAAAACAAAATTCAACTACATGACTCAAAACAGAGGAAAATAAATTTTAAAAGGAAAGGGAAAACAATGAGCAGGCTAGCTAGAGCAAAGTTTAGTATTTTTCTTCCCTTTTTTTTTTTTTTTTTAAAAAAAAAGACCTAGATTTTTTACATTGAAAAATGTTTGGACTCTAGGTATATTGTTTTTAATTCATGGAACAATGTAGCCATTTGTTTTTTTCCTTTTAGGACACTGTTTTTTTTGAACACACAGGGAATTACCTAGGCCAAGTCTGAATTCAAAGTGAAAAGCTAGGAAGCAAAAAAACAGTCCCCCTTAGAGAAACTCGGGGCAAATCTGGCATTCTTTCCAGTATGTAAAAATAAGTGAACCCAGTTTAGAACTATGATAAAAATTTCTGAAACACACAAGAAGAAAAGAACAATGAGGTGGTAGAAAAAATAAAAAATCACATTTCCCCTTCTCGCAGCCCTGTCCCTGGCCACTCACCTCTCCGTGTGCGGTTTGCATGTCGGAACGCTGCTAAAAAACGATCACATGGAAAATTTTTGTTCCAGATAAAACTGAGGGCCTGGGCTTGGCAGCCACTGCTGTAATCAGAAGGCTTCAAGCGCGAAGAGTAACAGAGGAGAGCAGCAGGCATTTCGGGACAGTCCTAACTAACCACTTTCTACAAAGCCGGCTGTGGAAGGGGGGAGGTGGTCAGGGTTTGACTTCACATGCATTCAGCCTGGAAACGCTCCCCTTCAGTGAGAGGCAAAACAACAAAAGAATGGCTTAAAACACTGATGATTCTTTTTCTCCGTTAAGGCAGATTTAAAGAGCTCACACCTACCAACCTGGCATCGTGCAAAACTTTCAGTTCTTAAAATGACTTTTCCCAGTAAATCTGCAGCCCTAAGTGGCCAGCTACAATTCTGCAGGCTTTCCTGGCCAAGCTGGCACTGAAGAGGCTCCTCTTTTTTAAATAAAAGTGGAAATCCTTGGTATAGTGAGCCATTTTCCCACAAGCCCACACCAGAAATCTAAACAAGAAAAAAAAAACTGAATTTGATTCATGCTGGTAGCCCAAGGCAGGGGCTGGAATAAAGAGACCTGTGACTTGAAAAGTTCAGGCTGCGATAAAAGGAGCCACCAAGATAAGAATGACTTCAGTGGAGTTCCAATGGGTGGGGCCCCCGGCTTGGGGGAAGTCAGCGACCCCGTTCACGCAAGGGACAAGGGACAGGATGGGCAAGGAGGGGAAGCTGGCCATCCGCAGGCCAAGGGGGGTGAAGGCGATCCAGGGCCATATTCTCTTCCTTCCAGCGCTGGCTGGCACTCCCACAGCTGGGCTAAGATGGTTTCCAAAGTCCAAAATAAGAAGCTAGCCCAAGGCAGCCTGGCCCTCCTGCTGGAACTCAAAGGAATCAAAGGCTCTTTTCTTCTTCCTCCCCCTGAACATGCCCCCTCTCTGTTGTAAACGAAGCGCTTGCCAGAATGAATTATTTAGCTCAAAACAGACATCAAGAAATTGTAAAGAAACACACAGCCCTGGGAATCTTAATCAGTTCAGGTGACCAAGCCCACTGCTCTGTGTGTCTGATTCTCTCTCGGCTGGTACAGAACCAGGCTCGTGGTCAGCAGCCCCTCAGAAGCAGCGGATCAAGGCAGAACTGGAAACCCATCCAACAAGAAGCAGGAGCTGACATCCACACTCAGGGCGGGGAACAGAGGTGCTTCCAGTGCTTCATTTCACTTGACATCTGAATGCAGTCCCGTCTCTGTCCTTCCTTTAAACCCTGATTTTTCTGCCAGCACTATCTCAGCACTGCCAAGAACAGCGCCTGAAACCCCTGGTCTTCCCTGGTAGGCCCTCTCAGCCTGCACTCTGGAGCCATCATTACCTGTGCCACTAATTCCGCATTTAATCACGGAGGACCCACCACCATCTCTCTTGGAAAAGGAGGGCCCTGCATTCCCAGCTTGTCTTCACAAATCGACTAGAAACTCCTTCAGGGCGGGGAGTGGGCCGTTCCCTCCATTGTATTCCATGCAGGGCGTATTGCAAAAGCTCCAGAAAGACTTGTTTCTTTTTTCAGTCAACAAATTCTTCGGCGTGTCAATCCCAAGCCGGGCACTGCTCAGGGTGCTGGTGACTAGAATTTCTCACAAATTCTGCTTAAGCCCTTCCTAATAGGTTCACGAAACTACTTAAGATGAACAATAAACCAAGATTTTTTTCCCAAAAAGGAGGCCAACTGAGAGGTTCCCCATTTGCTCACCCTCCCAGGAAAACGCCCCAGGAGGGTTAAGCCAGAATGCGTAGGTCTATTTGGATGTATTACCCACCCCTTCTCCGTTTTACAGATGAGAAAACCCGAGATCAAAAGGTCAAAAGATCAAGAGGGCATGTGACAGGGTGGTCCCCACGAAAGGGGGAGGTTCCAGGTTCCCTGCCCCACCCAAGGGAGGGTGGAGCTGAGCAGGGAGCAGAAGAAGCTGGAGAGGAAACTGGACGAGGAAGGATGCAGAGCCAGGAGACCTGGAGGAGGCACCTGGAGCAGAGACAAGTGAAGAAGCTGCACTTGTTTTTTGGTCCTGGACTGTTTGAAACAGATGTGGGTGATAGGCCCTTGGGGAGGTTAACAATGGCAGCTTTTATATTGATTTTAATGTTGCTGTTTTCCTTCCAGACTTGTCTGATCCCTTCTGCCCTTCCCAACAGCCCCCCTCCCCCCTCCAGAAGTTGCTTTAGACTCGTGGCAGGCTTTCCGGCCTCAGTGGCCCTGCTTTGGGCCAGCCCTGTGTGGCTGAGCATTCACCCACGAGGGGATGGGTAACTTTGAGTACTGGATTTGGAAACCATGCTCTTTGTCTTTTCTTTGTTGCACACTAATTGTATTAAAGCTCCTTTCCATTAAAGGTCGTAGGTGTTTTGTCTTGATGCAGTGGATGGCAAGAAGCTATTTAGAGCGGGCAGGTTTGAGAGCTCTGGGTTGCCCTGCTCGCTGCCCTGTAAGAGGTGGAGGGACACTCAAGGAGAACCCAGGGTCCTGACCCTCAGTCCAGGGTTCCTGCCAATGTAGCACAAACTTACCCAAAACCCTTCAAATAAGCTATGGGCCCACCTGTGACCAAGCCGCCATCCTGTGTGCAACTGCAGGAAAATCAAGAGAGCGGGCACTGGATGTGCAGATTCTATCACCTCTTGAAATTCCTCAATCCACAAATACTCACGATCTTATCTACCTATTTTTTTATGTCGACTCCAAAGTATGGAATTTTACTTGGTCTTTTAGAAGGTGTTTTATCATTTGATTTCTTTCCTTTTTTTTTTTAAGTCTTCTTACAGCCTCGCACACTGAAATACCCAATTCAGCTGTCAACAGATTACAGAAGTCTAACTCCTGCTTGTATTTTGTTCAAAGACGATCTTATAAAAAGTTAAAAAAAAAATTTTTTTGAAACAGCAAAATTTCTAAAACTACCTTTCAAACTAATAGTGATTTTCAATCCCCAAAGACAACAGTCAGGTGTAGGGAGTCAGCCAGCTTCACATGGAGAGTTTTTTGCTTACCACTAAGCCCAAGCACAAGGAAAGAATGAACTATCTATAACTATCCTAAAGGCTTAATGTAATTGCTAGTCAATGATCTTGTTAATAGAAACTGCTCCTGCCACACAGAAAAAGGTAAATGGGAAAAACAGCAGGAATTGGAACAGAATGTTTACAAGCATGAGGATTGCAAGAAGAAATTGCCTTCAACGGAATCATTACACTCCTTCAGTCACTCGAAGCAAAGTGAATTGCTATTGGAAACTGCCCAAAAAGGGCAGACAAGCCTGCAGGCTCCACACCACCACAGCCCTCTTTCTGGGGTGACACCACTGAGCCAGGACTTAGTGTCATTGCAGGGCAGACCCCAGGTGTCCTTGAACCAGGGAGATACTGATATCTGCCTGCTGGTCCCCCCCCCCGCCCCCGCCCAATACAAGATGCCCACTGGTGGAGGAGGTTATTTCTAATTCCATTTCCAGAACGAGGGTGTGTTCTCGAAGTCCAGACAACCAGCCTATTTAACTGACAGCTGAAGAGGAGAGCACACGCCGGGTGCAGATTATACACCCAAGAACCAGCTGAGGTCTTGCTCCTGGGGCGCTGGCAGCTCACAGGCCACCCTGCCCTGGTCTGGGAGGCAGGTCCCTGCTGAGATTGCGCCCCTGCCCGGTGCTGACAGCTGGGCCTTGGAGGAGCCTAAACTCGGTGTCCAGGTTTGAGGCAGCAGCAGGGACACTTCTCCTGCAGAGTTATGGGGCGAGCCAGCTGGCTTGAAGCAATCCTTTGTTTTCAGATTTACATTTTATCTTGGCTAAAACTGCAAGTCCTAAGGGAAAGTCCACCATTATTTCAAATGGCTGATTTGCCTTTAATGCTTTACAAACCTGAGGACTGCCCCTGACTGCTGACCGCCAGGGGTCCACTTGCTTTCTGCAGCCCTCAGAACTCTGACCTCCAGGAGTCCACTCAGGTCCTTAACAAAGTGAAAAAGCAGCTGCTGTTTAACACATAACAGGACAGAGCAGCAACACAGTGGTAACAAAAGGAAAGCAAGCATGACAACGTTCACCTCCATTTTAAGAGACTGAAGAGTCAGCGGAAGAAACATGTGGTAGAAGAGGCTCTTTGCCTTCTGTAGTCAATATCAAAAAATTAAACAAAAAGGCTAGGGCAGCTGCTCCCCCGCCCCGTCTTGCTCTCACTTTCTTTTATGTCACTTTCACTCTCTTTTGGAAATTTGAGGAAACCTTTCACGTATCAGATGAACACTTGTTTTGCAAAAGCAAAGGAACAGGAAAAGTTACAATAGAGTGGCGGATGAAATACACAGGGGGACTCCCTGGACACATCTTTAAAAGCTAGAATTTTTTGTCACTTGAAAGCTCATAAGGATCATCTTCATCACTGTTTGGAGTACCCTGTGAATAATGTAAACAGCCAACTGTCAAAGTCTCAGGGGGCCAAAGATTTCCCAACAGAATCAACACTCAAACTCCCTGAAGTCTCAGTGAACAATTACAGTACCAGGGCTCCAACATGGCTTTTCACAGCGAATCCATTCATTGAAAACCGTTATCAAGCAACACTTTGCTTATTGGGAGGCCAACAATGTTTCCTTTCATGCAGAAAATAAAGATTTTACATGAAAAGAAAACAAGCATTGGAAATGAATGCCTCTGTGCCTCTGTCTTGGAAGGTCAAAGCTGCTTTAGCAAAAACAACCTAAATTGGATACCAAAGCCAGGAGACCAATAAGCAGAGTGTCAAAGTCTTCTGGCCAGTCAATGTGACAGGTGAACTACAAGACAAGCCTCCCTTTAACACAGAACTCTCCAGGTGCCCTCTGGGCGGCGAGAGCCCACTGTGAGAGCCACCCGGCCCAATGTCTTCCAGGGCCAAGCCCCCGTAACTGAACAGGTGTGCAAAGAAACAGGGCTCAGCCAGGCAAGAAAGCGCCCCCCTCCCTTACTGCTAGGCATATTCCTCCAACTTAGGGAGCTGCTTTCTCTCTACGGCACGTTCAGTCTACGCTGAACTGATTCATCAAATCACCTATAAAAAAAAAAAAAAAACCTAACCCTACCATTCATCTTGGACAACAATCATAGAGCCTTTTGCTTCTTCACGTACACGTGCCTCATCTTCCTGAAGACTCGGGCTACTTGAAGGCAAAGATCAGGTGGGTCCACATCTCTTCCCAGCACCCTCAACAAACACACAGTCACAGGGACTCTGAAAAGACCTTCAAAATGTGCAAATCAGCGCTCCATTTGGGGTGGGGAGGGGACAGATAAGAGTCATCAACCTGATTTTATGGCCCAGCAGGTCCGCAGACCTGAGTTCAGATGCTACCTCTGGCACACTCTAGTTACAGACTGTTTTCTCATCTGTAAAACGGAGATAATGCTCACCTCATAAAACTGTTGTAATAATCAACAGAAGTATTTTTTAAATCCAGGTTTACCCCTTCACTGGTCCTTGTTAAGACAATCCTTTTGGCCATTCAATTCCAAGTCCAAGAGGCAGAGTTTCCCCCCCGACCCCCTTCCTTATTGTATTTTCTAATCCTATGGTGCCTGGTTCAGTGGTTGGTTACATCTTTTGAGACCCATCATCATGTGAAAGAACCCATCAAACCTCCATCGCTACTTTGGCGGCGACAGGACCCTACAGCACCCTTAAAAACTCAACCACTTACCTGGACCTTTCATCAACACGGTGCCTTCTCCAAACCCATCCATGCTATTCCTTCTCCCTGTTCTCACGCCCCAGACCTCAACCTCTTAGAACTAAGAGCAGACAAAACAACGACTGCCTCTGCCCAATGTTTGGAATAAAGTCAGCTTAGCATCTTCACCAGAATCTTCAGGTCACCTGCGACAGGTGGAGACAGGCTTTGGAAGAATTCGAAAACCCTGGAGAACTTTCTTAGGGTTGGTGGCTACACGTATTTAAATGAGAATTCCTTGTCTATAAGAAATTCTGGCAGAGTGAAGCAGAAACTCACTGGTGACTCCCCAGGTGAAGCTGAACACTGCACCTCCCGGGCTGGAGACCAGCAGACAGTGACTAACCGCTTACGCTCAGCTCCGCCACTGGGTGTACAACCCTTTGAACAGGGACAGGTTCCGTGAGAGGTGCTGGTCCCTGGCAGGCACTGACATGTAAGGGGGCATGCATTTTACTTTCAAATCACATTTTCCTAGAAAAAACACCTGCTCCACTACAGGGCAAAGGTGTCACTGCTTTCCTTTGCAGGGGGCACCGGGGGTAGAGAAGGGATAGGACCCCAGGCCCCTGAAGAGGCGAGAGACCAGTGAGGCGGATCCTTTCAAGGAATCTTTTCTTCCCAACAGTTCCAAAATCTCACACAATCCGCATCCTGCACCAGTTACACCAACACCGCGGCAGCGACCCTGCTGGCACACAGAGAAGTCCCTGCTGGTCTCCGCGGTGCCCTCCTGCGGGGCTCGACCGCGCGCCCCGGGCACCCCGAGCGCGGCCAGCAGGCTCCCCCGCGCCTCCTCCCGCAGCGAGCTGCCCGGGCTCGGGGCCGAACCCCACGGTCCCTCGATTGCACCCCGCGAAAAGGCGAACCCGGCGGAGTGGCCGCAGGACGCACGACCACTTTTGATTCTTTCCCCTTGGCGCGGGGGGGCTGGGGGGGCTGGGGGGCGCCGGCCTCCCGCGCGGCTTCCCCGGGTCCCGGGCGGGCCTGCGCACCCCGCCTCCCGGGAAGGGCGACCGGGGGCGCGGATCCACGGGGAGCTGGAGACCCCTCACCCCGCGGCCGTTCTCCTGGGGCCAGGAACTGGCCACCCCGCGGCCGCGGAGCACCAGAGGCGACGCCGAGAGGCGCCGAGCGCGCGGCTTCTCCCCACCCGGGCCCGGCGCGGCGCGCACAGCCCGGGGCGCCCCGCGGGCCCCGACCCCGCGACGGGCCGAGGGCCCGGGGCCGCGCGCGCGGGGCGCGGGGAGGGGGCGCGGGGTCCGCGCGCCGGGGCCGGAGGGAAGGGGCGGCGGGGAGGGCCGGGCCGGGCGGCGGCACTTACATAACGCTTCAACTTCTTCTCCGGGGGCGACTTGCGGAGCCATCCCGAGCAGACCACCTCGCCGCCGCTCATGGCGCGCGTCTGGGGCTCCGCGCCGGGCGGCGGAGGGCGGCGGAGGGCGGCGGGCGCGCTCCCGACCCGGCCGGCGCCGGGCTGCCCGCGGGCGACGGTCCCGACCCGGCTCTCCCGCCGCGCGGACGGGGCGGACCGGGCGGACCGGGCGGGCGCGGCGGGCGCGGCGGGCGCGGCGGGCGGGCTCCGCGGCGCGGCGGGTCCGCGCACGGGACGGGCGCGGGCGGCGCGGCCCAGGCCGGCTCCTCGGGTCGGGGGCCGCCCCGGCCTGGCTTCGGGCGCCCGCCTCGGCCGCGCTCGGGTCCGCGGGGCTGCGCCCGGCCGGCGGGAGCCGAGGTCCCCGCGCTCCGCCCCCGGGGGACGGGACCTCCCGGGCGCCCGCGAGCCGATCCGCGGCCGGCGCCCTCGGCCACACAATGCCCCGCGCCCGCGCCGGCTCCTGCGCCCCGCGCGGTCCTCGCCCGCCGCCGCCGCGGGGCGCGGGGCCCCTCCACGGGCCGGGGCCGGGGGCGCGCGAGGGTCCCGCGGGCGGCTCCGGGCGGCGCTGGGCGGCGGCGAGGGCGGGAGCGGCGAGCGCAGAGGCGGCGGCCGGACTCCGGGGACTGGACTCCGGGACCGTCCCGCGCCCCGTCTCGCTCCTCCCGCGCCGCCTCCCCCACCCGGGGCGCGCGGCGGTTCTGGGCGGCCCGGCCCCCGGCCCGGTCCCGCCCTCGCCGCCTCCCGCGCCGCTTCCTCCCGATCCCCCGCCCCTTCCCACGTTCGGGCCGGCTCGGGTTTCTGCCCAGACTTTCTCAGAAACTCCGCCGCGCGCTCCAGCCAAAACAACAAGGGCCGGGGGGAGGGCCGGGCGCGAGGCCGGGGCACCCTGGGATCTGTAGTCCGGGGCCCGAGCGGGGTGCCCAGGCGGCGGCGGGAGCCCCCAGCGGTGCTGGCCGGGGAGGCGGCCTCGGCTCGGCTCGGGCCGGGCGCGCGCGGGGGGCGCGGGGGGCGCGCGGCGGCTGGGCCGTGGCGCCCGGGTTTGCCATCTCGGCGCGCCCGGGGGTCCGGTCGGGGGCCGGAGGCCGGAGTCGGGGGGCGCTTTCCTTGACAGCTTGCAAAGCCCGGGGGGATCGCGGCGCCTGGGGAGGCGGTGACCCCGCGGGCCCGGTGGAGGACACGCCGCGGGACCAGCCGGAGCGCGCCGGGGGAGCGCGCCATGGCGACCCGCCCGCGCGGAGAACCAGGGCGACCCCCGGGGCGGGTCCCCGCAGCGCCCCGGCCCGA